ATGTACAGATGCTCATTGATATAGATAGGCAAGTTATTTTGCTTACGCTTGCTGTTCTACAAAAGTTTGTGTTTTGAAATGGATAATTCAGTCTTTATTGATAGAATTAGTAAGAGGTTTTAAATATGTTTTAAAGATCTAGCTAGACATAGTGTTTAACTTGGAAATATGCACTGAGAGGCAAATGTGGGTTTCATAAATTTATAATACTTATAGGATAATAGTAACCATTTAGGCTAAACAGTGTCGTTGTGACATAATTAGAATCCCCGAGATAGAATATTTCTGCATGGTCATGTTTATTCATTGTACACTTACCAGAAATACACAATTTTACTAGTTATAAAATATCGAGCTAAAGTTTTAGTTCTATACATCATACAAACTTTTATACTGTTAAAGCTGAATATATTATTCCCAGTATTGCTGGGTAATTTGTTTACTGTTCTTAATTGATATTGATTTCTTAAAGTGAACTAGAAATACTGTGATCTGGCCAGTGATGCCTTACCTTCAAGCATCTTTTGCCATGTTTTATTTATTATTGAAAACAGATATGAGCCGCGTCATGACAAAACCAACATAATGGGTTTGCGACCAGCATGGATCCAGACCAGCCTGCGCATCCGCACAGTCTGATCAGGATCCATGCTGTTCGCTTACCAACCCTATTACAAGTACAAAAACTGATAGCAAACAGCATGGATCCTGATCAGATTGCGCGGATGCGCAGGCTGGTCTGGATCCATGCTGGTGGCAAACGCACTATATTGGTTTTGTCGTGACGCGGCTCAATTATTATTTGAGATTTGTTTTACTGTATCTTCTACCATTTGTTTACATTTCCCCTGTGTCATGTTTCAAGGAAATATTGAAATGTATATATACTGAGTTACAGTGTTGAATAAATCATAGACCACACCTGTATTTGCACATGGCAACTTTAATAATATAGGAACATTGCATGTAATTTGTGCTGTGTTCTACCCAGAGATAAATTAATTCATGCATTCATTGTTATAACATTTCTATATTGTGACAGTCCTGTTGATTGCATATATTATCAATTTATGAAATGGTAGGATCTCAGATTTAGTGGTTCAAGTCCTTGTAATTGATGTGGTAATCTACACTGTGATTCCCTTTTTGTGTCGCTGTCTACAGGTGGATGATTTTTAATGGCCCTTCTCTTATACAACTTATGCAATTTGAATAAAACTTTACAGGATTGATTGGTACTTCAAGTTCTGCATATTTAAAGGGTTTTCCAGTTGAATGCTTTTTGACTGAGTTACGGCCTTCAAATAAATCAAAGGGCTGCATGCTCTGTGGTATTTTCTGATCTTTCCTGTATATATGTATTTTTGTGCCCCCACGTTAGTGGCGGGCATTTAGATTTACCCTTGTTCGTCCGTCCGTCTGTCCGTCCGTCCTTCCGTCCGTCTGTCCGTTCACTTTTGTGTCGCAAGTAACTCAAAAAGTATTTTACCTAGAGTCATGAAACTTTACAGGAATGTTGATCAGCATGTGTAGTTGTGCACCTGGGTATTTTCGTCTGGATATTTTTAGTATTTTCAGAGTTATTGCCCTTGACTTAGTAAAATTTTGCAATTTTCAACTTGTGTCGCATGTAACTCAAAAAGTATTTGACCTAGAGTCATGAAACTTTACAGGAATGTTGATCAGCATGTGTTGTTGTGCACCTGGGTATTTTCGTCTGGATATTTTTAGTATTTTCAGAGTTATTGCCCTTGACTTAGTAAAATTTTGCAATTTTCAACTTGTGTCGCATGTAACTCAAAAAGTATTTGACCTGGAGTCATGAAACTTTACAGAAATGTTGATCAGCATGTGTAGTTGTGCACCTGGGTATTTTTGTCTGGATATTTTCAGTATTTGTAGAGTTATAGCCCTTGACTTAGTAAAATTTTGCAATTTTCAACTTGTGTCGCATGTAACTCAAAAAGTATTTGACCTAGAGTGATGAAACTTTCACGAATGTTGATCAGCATGTGTTGTTGTGCACCTGGGTATTTTCGTCTGGATATTTTTAGTATTTTCAGAGTTATTGCCCTTGACTTAGTAAAATTTTGCAATTTTCAACTTGTGTCACATGTAACTCAAAAAGTATTTGACCTAGAGTCATGAAACTTTACAGGAATGTTGATCAGCATGTGTTGTTGTGCATCAGATATTTTCGTCTGGATTTATTTAGTATTTTTAGAGTTATTGCCCTTCACTTAGAAAATTTTTGCAATTTTTAACTTGTGTCGCAAGTTACTCAAAAAGGATTTGACATTGTCATTAAACCTTATGGGCAGGTTGCTCAGCATATTTAGATTTGCACCTTGGGTTTCGCTTGTGGATTTATCCAGTATTTGTAGAGTTTTTTCCCTTGACTTAGTAAAAAGATTGACAGAACAGTGGCGCGGTGGGGGCACCCGTGTCCTATGGACACATTTCTAGTTATATACTATAATTCATCTTACGCAGCGACTGCGTTTAGATTTTTTTCTATAACAGTTTGAGATTGATACATATGGAATTTTGCATGCCTAGAGTTGAATCAAAAAATCATTTTTAGTCCCCTACCGGTTTACCGGAGGGGACTTTAGGTTTACCCTCCGTCCGTCTGTCCGTCTGTCCGTCCGTCCGTCCGTCAGTCCGTCCGTCTGTCCGTCCGTCAGTCCGTCCGTCCACAAAACTGGATCCCGCGATAACGCAAAAAGTACTGAAAATATTTTAATGAAACTTGATATATGGATAGATGGCAGTATGGAGATTATGCACGTCTTTTTCTTTTCTTCCTATGTTGAAAATTCTGGTTGCTATGGCAACAAATAGACTGAAAATATGGCAAATTTTACACATAACCTGGATCCCGCGATAACGCAAAAAGTACTGAAAATATTTTTATGAAACTTGATATATGGATAGATGGCAGTATGGAGATTATGCACGTCTTTTTCTTTTCTTCCTATGTTGAAAATTCTGGTTGCTATGGCAACAAATAGACTGAAAATATGGCAAATTTTACACATAACCTGGATCCAGTGATAACACAAAAAGTACTGAAAATATGTTTATGAAACTTGACATATGGGTAGATGGCAGTATGGAAATTATGCACGTCCTTTTCTTATCTTCCTATGTTGAAAATTCTGGTTGCTATGGCAACAAATAGACTGAATTTCAAGATTTCTGATTCTAGTTTTTAAGTTTTTTCACTATAAGTTCTTTATTTCTTAAGGTATTTTCTTCAAACTTTAAATATAAGTTGCTTGTCATCAACCACATCATATGTGACAAGGTTCACAACTCTAGCACAAAATTATCAGAATTACCTCCCTTGAACTTAAAATTTTCATGAAAAAAACATTTTTTTTTTTTTTAATAACTTCTTTTTCTGAATGTATCTACTTCAAACTTCATATAAATGTTTCTTATTATCACTCAACATTTGTGAGTGTTCAATACTCTAGCAAGACTATTTCCAGAATTATGCCCCTTTTGAACTTAAAATTTTTTTTGAGAAATTGGTAATTTTTACTCCAACTTCTTCAATCATGATAGGATTTTTAAAAATGTTATATTTGATAACAGGGATGTTTAAAAAATAACTTTAGAGTGTCCTTCAGTCCGTCTGTCTGTACATAAAAACTGTTTCCTGTGATCACTTTTAAAGAACTTTTTCAACAAATTTACTTAAAATAGGAACCTAAGTGAATGGCCAATGGCCCTTCAGAATGTTGCTTGGGCTCTTACCGGTAGGGGACTTATGGATTGCTTGCAATACTATGATAATTGCTTGTTTATTTTTTTATGACAGCCACACTTTATCCTTGCATATCAGGGCTACTTCCTTAAAAAAAACACTTAAAAAAATGTTGCCTCGACTAGGATTTGAACCTTAGGCCTATCACACCCTAAACGAGCGCGCTACCTCTGCACCACTGTGAAGTAATACATAAAAACAAATACATTGTAATTCTAAAATTGAGAATTTCCATTTCGTGTTTGTAATCTTTATAAATTTCGAGTTATTTTTTTCACGATAAACCTGTTGTTAAACACTGATGAAAATAATTTAGCGAAAATCTTCTCGCCAAAACAGTCCGACATGTATATATTCCACTACTCGACAGTCAGATTTATTTGTGTACTACGCTCTGAAGTATTTGGTAATTGACATAGCTAAAAATAGCATTTTCATTGATTAAGCTTTACAGTAATAGTCGAACATTATTCATTGGGTAAAAAAGATATTCATCCGCGAAATTTGTGATTGTAACCTCATATTTCTATTGACTAATCTAAACTTTTAATGCACTGTAATTCGTTAAATGTCTACATTAAAAATTATTCTTTCTTTTAAATTGCTAGTTTTTAAGCAGTTTTGAGTGAGAACTACTTTGCGTTGTTAGGTCTGTGAGGAAATTTTGTGTTAGACCGTGGATGTTAGCTATGTATTTACTGATCTTGCGATCAGAAAATACAAAAATGCGTTTTGGCCTTTCAATGATTTTTGTGTCTCCTGCTACACAGTAGCTGCAATATGCTGCAAAGTAGCTGCAACTTATAGGGAACAAATTGGTCAACCAGCCCTCAAAACAACTGCTGAATTGGCCATTATCAGGCCACACATGTGATCACTGATTGCTCTTGTCTATGTTGTTTCAAATGTTTCATTAGTTGCCTTCTAAGAAAAACGGGTTAAAAAATGCTCAGAATATAAGAAGATTGTTTAGATAAATTAATAGTTTTATTTTACTACAGTATTAAACTGGCTTTAAACTTTAGAAAGTTAACATTAATAGTATTGTATCATAATATACAGTGCATGAGATTATAATATAGGAAATTTATAACACTAAAGAATGGTAAGTTGCTCTTCCTAGGTAACCTTTACTATCATTGTTCTTATGTTATACATATATAATGTCTCAACAAGATTATATACTTATGTATTCACAACAGAATTCCATTATATTTTATAACAGATGGTTGGTTGTGAAGGATACATTTATTGCATATATACGACCATCAGATGGAGTGTTATGTGATGTCATGTTGATGGATTCAGAGTTCAGAGTGGAATCTGGAATGTCAGCAACAGGTGCCCCTCATGGTCTCCTTGTTATGAACCAATCTAGGTAAATAGCAGTAAAATAATAAATCAAATTGTGTACTGTAAATATATGTCTTACCTAGGTATATGATGCTGTAAGGAAAAAAAACAAAACAGAAAAACTTTGAAGAAAAAAGTTCATACCAAATAAGAGATTGAAGTTTAGATAAAAGAAAATTTCCAAACATTTAAGAAACAAATCCTTGATTTATTTCAGATATGGTAGGATTTTATATAACAATCAAAATAATTGCAATGCTTTTATATCCCATTAGTTTTATACTTATACAATGACAGTAGTTAAAGATCCTGTAACACAATTTTTTCATGGTTTAATTTCATAAATATGATGCTCAAATTAACATTTGTCAATAATGTAAGTTCAAATAAGCATCATTTATAAAAATATAACCTAATTAAAAATTTCATGTAAATAAAGGGAGGTAATTAGAAATTTATTTTCTA